TAACACAATATTGCACTTCTAATTTTGTCACAGAATCACTGTCAACATGGACAGGTGGCAAATTTTTCTTATTATCTCCTCTTCTCCTCTTCAAATGAATCATCAGGAGATATTCTAGCCAAGCATGCTTCTCCAAAGAATGCAGTAGTGATGGAGGGAGGAACAGCATATGATGCCCCAAAGAGATTTCAGGCAAAACTGCTATCCTATTTGTACAACTATCAACCAGCACTACTATGATATTCTTCTGAGAGAAGATCTTGGTTGTTAACATTTCTGTAGCCTACAGGGGTCTTAAGAGCAGTTGGAAGAATTGGCAGCACTTGAACTCCTGACCACTTAGAGTGGTTTATTCACCCAGTTTGGTGCATTTGGAGGGAGAGTGGATCTCATTTAGCTTCCTCTAAGGATTGTATTTCTACTGAAATGCAGAGAGACATGAAGAGCATGCTGGAAGCGTGTCTTCCAAAATTATTTTTGCTGTCAGACTGTGCAGTTGCCTGATAACATCAAGCTTTACTTTCTTGTTTTCATTCTTTAAGTGTCACCGTATTTGTTGTTCAGTCTCTTCCAGATTGCCCAAAACACTGTTACTTCATAAACAAGGGCTCAGAAAAATCAGATTTAGCAGGAGCCTTGGTCAGTAAAATCCCATTTAGCCATCCAAAGTGTGTGCCTGGCCTAATAGAGATTCTTCGACATCAAGTGGCATATAACAGTCTTATTAGCAGCTGTGTCTCTGAGAAGCATATAAATGAAGGTAAATTGTGTGGTTGGAAGTAATGGCAGAATATTAGAGAGAAACTAGCTTCTAAGCTGGATGTTAACAGATTTACTGCTCCCTTGTCAAAGCTGTCATTACTTATGGAGTATTTCAAATGATTAAAAAATCCTTAATTCCAGTATTACACTCTGTTGAATATCTTTTTTTTTTTTTTTTTAAAAATCCTAGGCCTGACACTTCTGTAAGTATAAACTGAGATGCCAAAGTAATGAATAATTAGATTCTACTGTATCAGTATTTTTTTAAATTCTGGCATGTGATTCAGCAACAAGAGTCCAGGTTCAATGGGAGGATATCACTAAATAGTAATTTTATTTCTAGATGATTCAGAACTGCTTTACTTTGAAGTGGTACCACACAAGAACACCAGCTTTTCTGTCTTTTTCCTTCATCCTGTGAAAGAGAATTTAGCCTGTGGTATGTGTGGAATAATTGATACTGTCCTCTTTACTGGGCTGACAAGGGACTTCGTTCTATCTAGGCTCTTGCACTACGCTTCTCAGTTACAAATACATTCTAAGGGCTACTGTCAATGGTGTGCAACCCATGCAAAACACATAGTACTTGTGTATAAATTGTTTTCTAAAAAGTGTTCTGTACTCAGCATAAAATAGAAAGTAAATGCAAATATTCAAGTCCTATTGTGTCTTGGCCTGCAGTTAATTAATAAATTGTAACTTCTACTATTCCCAATTTAAGTATATTAAGAAAAAGCAAGTCTTATGCAAGCATTGCTGCAAGCCCCTTCCCATTGACTTCACTCCTACTTCTCTTGAAGCATCAGAATGGATGGTTTTCAATGCCTATAAAAATGTTTATTTTGAAATACTTATATTCTGTCCTTTCTTAGTGTTAATTGATGTTATAACCTCCAGAGAAGTCCAAAGTCACCTTCATTTAAATCCTCAAGATCCAACTCTAAATTCTAATGATGACTTTATAGCAAGAGCTGTGAAGCGGTAAGTAGTTTTATTTTATTTTATAACAGTTGGAATGAACCTCAGATGTCCATTTAATGGAAATATCATGTGCATTCACAATGCCATAAACTCGGCAACAAGAAAACTTCACTCTAGTGAGATAGAGAGTGAATAGTGAGAATAAGTTACTTTATCTTAAGCATCTCTTTCAAAAATTTTAAGCATTAATAGTGATGGAAAGTGTTTCTAGCAGAAAGCATGTGGGGCAGGGAAACACTTTTGAATGAAGGGAGTTTTACCTTCCATAAAGATGCTTTTTTTCTTTTGCAAACATGCTTTTCTGAAGACTCTAGCTGATGATAGTCTCATGACTGGTGTAACTTAAAATAGCATGGAAGGGACTTTTTCCACATCTACGTAATACCAATTGGTGCTTCTTTTCAGAAAGTGAGGTGTATATAGCATGTCTACAACACTGTCTCTGGCTTGTTTTCTGAAACAAATTCCAAGAGAGGCAAGTTGCTGTGATACATGAATATATGCTAGAGAAAGCACTAATTCAGTTGGCATAAGCTAGTGTACAACTATTATCTATTTGATGACAGCAAGATCAATGTAGGCTGGATTTTGAACCTGTTTAATTAGCCTGCCCTGTCTTAAGTCACAGGATAAGAGATAGATACTATTCCTGGAACCAGGTAACTCTATTGTTAGAGTGGGAAAAAAACCTCCTCTAGTGCAGATAGTGTTTTAGAGAAGATATGCTCTGTACCCATCTTATACAAAACATGAAAGTTACAATTATAAAACTCAGCAAGAATGAATATATTGGAATATTATTAGTTTAGGTTTTCATTAAAAGCACCCTTATGACTTGGGGTTTTTTGACCAAACCCTCCCACTCTTTCTACCAAAGCTTCTTTTGCACCACCAAGCTCAGAGATCCAGCACTTGATTTCATTGTGTCAACATGTTTCTGGTACAGCACATGTAATTGTATTGTAGTTAGAATGTAATGCCTATTAGGTTGTACAAAGCAAAAAGATGCAAGGAGGTAGTGCTGTTTTTTACCACAGGTATCATTCAGGTGTCACCTACAGATTAAAAAAAGAAGTATGTTGAAGAACGGACGAAGTCTGTAGTAGTGACTTATGTTTTGTTTCCTCTTTCAGTTGCATGTCAGTCCCAGTTGTCATGAGAGCTATTTTCAGGAATGCTGCCAAGGTGAAAGCTGGTAGTGAAACACAAGATACGGAAGAAGATATGAAACAAACACCTGAACTACCATATGAGCAAATTACGGATTCCAATAGTCTTGAAGAAAGTCTTTCTGTGGCTGGTCAGCAAGATTTGGTAGTGACAGAAACACCAAGCATTACAGGCAGCCTGAAAGAAAATCTCTCCACAGCCAAATTGGAAACTGTGGGTGATAACATGGAAAAAAGTGACCCCACAGTAAGCACAGAAACTTTGTGCAGAGTGGAGGAAAGTAATTCCACAGCTAGTACAGAAGCTGTTATGATACATAAGTAAAACACACAATCTATTGTTTGATAATCAAACAAGAAAGAAATATTTTCCCTGGCATAGATTGCTTTTGCAGAAGTAGTTGAAGAGAACTTGGCAAGCTCACTGTCTACTTAGTAATTTGTGAATGGAGTTTCCTCTTTGCACACTATTAAATACATAGAAGTAATACTCTTGAATTTGCGTTTTTAAACTTCCAAATTTGTCAAGTCTAACATTGCTCTAGTAACCTTTACTTTTGTCTGCACCATATTCTACCACAGTGTGGAAGAAATTTCTAACATACGTGATACAGGCTATAACATTGCACTTGTAGAAAAGTAATGTTTATTCATGTCAGCATTATGCTAAATGAATTGAGAAAAAGAAAGTTGTCTGAACAATTTTGTACATACATAATTAATGCATACAGTCCACTGTTTCAGAGTTTCAATAAGAGACCCTTAATTGCAGTTCTGTTTTCCCCTAATGCAGAAGTGGTACTGAATGGCAGCCAAACTTACAGTCTACCAACTCCATAGCAGGATAATAGAGCCTTTAGTAAGAAAGTTGTAAACTCAGTCTCTGAAAATCAAGTAATTTTTGCCTTAGCTTTTTTCTGGCCTCAAAGTATAAAACTGTTTTGAGATTTAATTTTTTTTTAAAAAAAGTATAGTTAAGTCAGCTGTTTAAAATTTCAGTTTGTCTCTGTCTAGACCTGCTTTGTCTCAGACATCAAGGAAAGTTACAAGCAACTTAACAAGTAAACTCCTAGCTTACTGTAAATCAGTTTAATTAGTGTAAAACAGAGATAGGCATTCACAAAGAAAAGACTTCCTGACCAGAGTAATTCACAGCTACAGCTAAGGCAAACAACAGGAAAAGAAGTCAAATATAGAATGTTGGCACAGAAATACAAAGTTGTCAGAAATATGCATGTGTGGCTGACGTTTCTAAGAGAAGGTGAACAAGCGTGGCTTCCTTGAAGAGTTTGGGAAAAACGGAAAGAGAGTTCAGCCTAAAAGAACTGGCAAAATAAATACAAAAATAACACAAGGATGTTCATTAGACTGGAAACGTGATCAGTGTGGTCTAACAGGGTAAGAGTAGATGGTCTAACAGTAAAACAATGGAATTGTCAGTAATTCTGCATTTAAAGAGAATGGTGTGTTTTCAGCAAAAGTGAAATAAATAGAACTGTATGAGGAGGAAAAAAATAGGTTTTAACTGTGAAAGTGCACTGCACAGTGGTTACAAAAGGTAACAGGAAGAATTTGACAAAAAGTGAAAAATGTTTTATACAGTGACTAGAGATAGTCACAGCACTCTAGAAATCAGCAGCAAATCCTGTTCTATTCTGCAGAGACTTAACATACCATCAACAGCAGCTTATTCTGCAAAAATAGCTTGTCCATAGCACTGGGCATTTATTTTTTGGATATTAGAGGGTACCTATTTAGAAGGGCTATTTAAGGGACCTGCTCCATTTCCAAACTGCTACCAAAAGAGAAAGTGAAGGTGAAATGATAGCTTCTGACAAAAACAGAAACATGTTTAGTAAATCTTTGTAGAGCTTTAAAAGTCATTTCCCCTTTCTGTGAAAGTCATGTTTAAGATTGGCTCCTGGCAAAAATCTTCTTGCTTTCAAAGCATGGTGAAGATTTACAGAAATTACCTCTACGGGGAAGTATCAAAATCAGAATTCCCTAAAATTAAGTGATGCATCAGCCTGTACGTGGTCCACAAACTGAGAATCAAATCTAGCTGAGATAATTTTAAATACCATGAGACAGAAAAACTAATGTTCCAGTTGCTGCACATGATGGAGTATATCCAGTGATAAGCCCAGTTGTTCTACTAGCCAAATAGTCTGCTTTTTAACCCAAGCAAGGGTTGACCTTTCAGGATCTGTGCAGAGTTTTGCCTTGCTGCATGCAGACTGCAAGGAACCAACCTCACCATTATTTCTACAAATGTTTTCACCAGAGCTGCCAATGTCTTCATGTTTTCCAGCTTTAACTTCATTGTACTCTGTCCCAGCTGGAGCTGTGTGATTAAGGTCCATGTCCTGAACAGAATCTAAAATGTGTCCGATATGTGGCTGTTCAATAGAATTCAGATACTTAAGCACATCTTCTTCATGCCTTCCAACCACATCAAGGAGATTATTTATCTTACTTAAAGCAGAATCATGTCCATTAAAATGACACCAGGATAACAGAGCACTGAAAAATGAAGAACAAAAACAAAAAAAGTGATTACAGGTACCCACACAGACCTCCAGTTATTGAAGGGAGATAGCAATGTGACAAGATATCTATACTATATAAATGTTTAATTCACATTTTCTGGGAAATTCAAGCAGTAGAACTGAATATTAAGCTTAAAGATGTAGATTCAGATAATTTTGCAAGAGCAACTGAAGGAGGATTTTTCAGAATGATCACTCTACACCCAGGTAGACAATTCCCTGTATTCAAGACCTGAGAATTCTCAGGTTGCTCTCTTTGGACAGATTTACAATGCACTTTTTTTTTTTTTTTTTTTTAAATTAAAACAAACAAAAAACTGCATGCACGCTCCCTCCATACACACCCTCCCCATGCACATGACCTTAAGGAGTTTGTAACCTACTTCAGGGTTCCTCTGAACTGGCCACATGTAACCATCAGCTCAGCACCGTGTCTGTAACCTTGATTAAAGCCTTCCTGGAGTGCAAGTTCTTTCCCAGCCTCAATTCCGTCCCTATAGCCTTCCTATAATAAGAGTAGTGAAACAGGTTGTTAACAAGATGAAAAATTGGAGCTATGACAATTTCATAACGATAAAAGAAGTTTCAACAAGTATTCAGTCTCTTAAATTACTGCTTCTAGATTTGAACATCCCTCTCTACACCTCCGCTGTCAAACCAAAACATGCTTTTTGCAGTGCATATGATTTATTGATCTGTAAGATCCAGTTCTTTTCCAAAAGGATCAGAAGGTCAGACAATAAGGAAAGTATTTTTAGAAACATCAAAAAATAAGACAAATCTGCAGGAAATCATACTTGCTTTTATGATGACCAACTCCTTTATGAAAAATTCCTTAAAGAATACCACATATAGATTTCTAGATATCTAAAAATACATAGGCTGCAAAGACTCCCCTCTAGCAGAGGTACTCTCCTGTCCGTAATCCATCTACCTGTTTTCACAAAACTAATTATTGAGCCTTGCTTCTCTATTTGCTGAATCTCACTCAATTCAAGAGTTATCTCGGAAAAAAGATGGTGACGGAGTGAGTTACATATAAATACACATAACATTGCGATTGCTTTCTGTAAGAAACAGCTAATCATTGTAATGCAAATTAATTTCTTTATATTCTAATCACTTTACCATATAAAGTAGAATAATTCTTTTTTTCACACCAAAATTGCAAGTTTTAAGAGTGAAAACTTCTATTCGCTCATGGGAGAAGAAAACTGGTGGCCTTGCTAGAGAAATAGCTGGGAACAAGAATGTTTCTTTATTTTGCCCAACACACAGCTCTAACCTCAATAACATTTTATGATTTTGCAGTATCTGCTTATAAAATACCAGAGGGATTTATGTAACAACACTAAACAGCCCCTTAAGAGAACCAGTCTTTTCAAGGGACTCAGATGCAGGAAACTTTTCCTTGGAGAATAATAGAACAGCTCTGTTGTAATACCCTTCCTCATCAACAGCCCACACAACAGCTTCTATTCATGTTCTTCAGCCACATGCTGTTCACCCATGAGCAGAGGAGCCCTACTGGCCCCACTCTCAATGATAACGCATCTGTTGGAAGTAACCTGAGTTTATGTACTTGTTTTGTTCCCTGTAGAATTCCAGGGAGGGAAGGACTGCGGAAACCTATTTTCATAAAATGTATTTTCCACTAGGAGAATAAATAAGCCGCAGAACTACCCACCCCACAACATCCAGTTGTGGTTCCACATGGAGTCACACACCTTAAATCTGACTGATGAAGAACTCCACTTAAAAACCCAAACACCTCATATTTCTTTATTAGCACTGTTCACACCTACAAGTATGAAGCAAATAGCTCGCATCAGAATTTAGCACTGCCTTTTACAAATGCACACGGTTGTACAGAGGGAGCCAATGTCTTTTGGTAAAACAGTACTTTGCTCTGACAGACTACTAGGATAGTTTCGGTAAATCCCTGCTAAATTTTCCTGAACATTCAGAAGAAACTAAGCCACAATAACTTTTAAGCAGCCACTCTTAGTTTTCCCTTTAAATCAGCCATATGTATATCAAGGTATGTATCAGTAAATCTAAAATGGTTATAAAGACTATTAAATCATTGTTATAGAAATACCTTTAATCTTTTTTTCATGGTGCTGTTCCATTCTTTCTGTAGTAGATACATCTCATCTGCATCTTCATCAAATATATCCTCACTGGATCGGCTGACTGCAACTTGTACCCAGGACATAACAGCAGTGATGACTGTGACCTCTGCTTATGTGGTAAAAAAAATACTGAGAAACTCTGAAAGGTCCTTCTGGCTAAGTGTCAGATTACAAGTATAGGCAAAAAATGTGAGTTCTGAAGAGAAGTCATGTATGGAGCTGATTATTCAACGTGTACATTTGTTTCCACATGGAAAATGGATGCTGTTTACCATCAGGGTGCATCTGTCAAGAGAAGAGTCATATCATCACTGCTAAAGCCACTTCTGTTATTTATGAGGACAACTTAAGGTAGTAGTTTCTTCCCTTTTTATGGCAGTGACACGCATATGCACATCAAACGAGCATTTTAAAGTGTTGCTAGTACACGAACAGCAGGCAGAAACAACTTTATGACTCGATTCTGACAGCAGCTGATGAATAGCCCCATATAGCTTCCATGCAGTGCATTAAGTTATAGGTAATTGCCTGCAGAGCTAATAACTGGCAAAGACTTTCACCTTTGATTTTCAGTTTCCTGGTTATGCCAAATACTTAACCACCTTATAACTCTTGAGTAGAAATACTCCTTTATATTTTGAATAAAGAATTAGCTAGTTCTACTGCAGAGGGAAAAAGACATAACTGGATTATTTCATCTTTTCCACTGAAGAAAACCTTACGATGCCACTCACAAGTAATTCATTGCATGGGTGAGAATTCATACAACCCACAAATGCTGTTTCTTGCAGAGGCACCAGTGGCTCTGAGGGAACCGAGGGCCGTAAGGGCCACCAAGCGCCCGGCCACGCTGCTTTTCCCGGGACACACCTGGCTGGAGCCTCGCAGCCTGCAGGCTCCCTCCCTGCGGGGAGGCAGAGATGCACCCCACCGGCCCCACACCTTTCCAGCCAGCAGATCGCAAAACCATGCCTCAACA